ATACATAACTCATCTCCTCGAATGTCAGTCCATAGCACTGGATTTATTCATCTCATCACAATACTCGTCATAATATATATATATATATATATATATATATATAATTTCATTTCAACATTTCAATATATCATCACATCTTAATATCTCAATACATTAATTCAACCACTTCTTAAGATAATTTCTCAAACAACATCCTCAATATTGGTATACTAGAACTCATCATTATAATCGACCATTCCCACATTATTATTCATAAGATGATTCTCTTAATTCCCAATCTTAGTCTTTTCTATCGAGTCCTCAATTATCATTTAATTCGTAAAAGTAACATCGTAAGAGAAAAGGTGTGGCGTCCAGCAAGGTCTAACTTGCACCTAATGCGGAGAGGTCAAGGACCTCTCTACCAAAGTCATGCCAAACATGGGATCATCCACGTTCGACGTGGTGAGGTTTTGGACCTCTTTGTCTCAATATTGCTCAGTGCAATTTGGGCCACACTCAACATCACCTTTTTCCTAAAATCAATGTCAAATGGCGTCAAGAACAACACCTCACACCCAGCGCCGAGACGTCTAAGACCTCTTTGGCAGCCTCATGCCCAATGTAGTCATTCTCACACTTGACGTGGTCATAGAGTCTACACTCCACATACTCGCGATTTGTACAATTTGTCTATCTCACACATCCATACACATACATTTAGTTTAATTCACAATTCAATTGATCAAAACACTTTTTTTCATTCTTATAGTCATTCATCATTGTCAACTCGTCAAAACATCAAACCAATTAAAAGCCCAATTCTATGCATGCATCGATTTGATCTATTATCACTTCAAATAAATATTAGTATCTCAATCCAAGTAATAACACATGAATTCATGAAGTATAATAGGAATCAAGTATCAATTCATTCATACACATATATAGATTAAATTAACGACCTAAAGGGCTTATGGATCACCCTCATATTTGTCCAACAGATTTGACAATCTCACTCTCCCTACCTAGAGTGATGATGTTGTGATACAACTCACTTCCTGAAGCTCTGGTCGCTAATAGGTATCTTCCCCGATGATCTCCTCTACATTTTGTCCTACGAGCGCTCTAGGTTTTAGAAAACGTGTAATAATCTAACTTCTTCCTTCTTTCTCTTTTTAATTAGCCTCTAGGTTAGACCCAGAGTCTAACCCATAATCTCCTAAACTACCTCTCCCTTTTTTATTTTATTAATAAAAAAAATTCTTATATAATATTCTAATTTATTTGTTATTTACTTAAAAAAAAAAAGATGTTTCAATCCTCTTCAAAATAAGTAATAATAACTTTATAAATTATAAATATATTTTCAAATATCATTCATTTATTTTTACTAATTCTCTCCCTATGAGATGTATCCTTCGTATTCTCTCCCTGTGAGACATAAACCCTACCACGCTTCTTAGCCTAAAAGTTCCTGACCTTGCCATTCACACTATCCAACCATGGAAACCCCCACCTTACAACATTTATCAATCACTAATGACCATGAAGATGATCTTATTTTACCAAACGATCCAAACACCAATCTCACAAACGATCTATCACTTTATCTGCTAGGTCAGTTTCTTACTGACAGAAACATTCGCGTGAACATGGTGAAGGAATGCATGGCAGAAGTTTGGCATCCCTAGAGAGGAGTTTCCATTAAGGAAGTCGAGAAGGGTTTTTCTTGTTCCAATTCTTTCACCCGTTGGACATGCAACGCATCTTGAAAGGTGGTCCTTGGTCTTTTGATAGCCATCTTATTCTAGGCGTCATCAAGCCTGGAGAAATCCTCGGCCAAGTACCACTCTTTACAATCCCATACTGGATTCAATTACATAATATCCCAACAGGTTTCATGATACATATGTTTGGGCAAAAAATAGGAGACTATATAGGTGTTTTCTTGGAATTCGATGAAAATAATTCATCCAACTTCTGGCGTTCCTACATGAGAATTCATGTGCTGGTTAATGTAAGGATAACCTTAAAGAAAGCAAAACGAGTCAAGAAAGCAGGCGGAGAGGCACATGACATTCTATTTAAATATGAGCATCTTGGCCCATTTTGTTTTTACTGTGGTCTTTTAGGTCACCTGGACGATGGTTGTGATCAACTCTTCAACAAGACTCATGATGATGGTCATTGTGGATGGGGATTGGACCTCTACATTGACATTCGTGGCACCTCTACAGGATTATGGTGGTTATGTGAGGAAAATCAGCATGCAAATCTTGGACATGTAGAAAATCATGGATCTCGTGAGATTTATGGGACACCAAATTCTAGTATTCAAATCAATAATATTCCTTATCCGGGAATCATAGAAAGTCACCAACGAACAAAATTAATGTCTCAGATTTTCAAAATTCCAACAAACTTGTTTCCGCTTCTACATTAATATCCTACCTCTAGTGCAACCAAAACATACAATATAGTAACTGATGCTCGTGCCACCCATGTTGCCATGGACAAAGATCTAGAAGAGCCCACACTCATTGTTGGTGATAGGAAACATCAACATGATGACGAAATACATATTAACCTTTCATTGCATGATGATGACCACGATGACTACGTGCATGCTAAGGAAGAAAACTAGACTATAACTTACCATTTTTTAAGGGCGGGCCCTAGAAATCAGGCCTTCCATGGTTAATGAGTTTCATTAGTTAGAACTGTCGAGCCCTAGGAAACTCGAGTGTAGTTCCTACTTTATTGGACCTCGTCCGTTCATACCATTCAAACGTGTTCTTCCTGTCTAAAACATTGGTACACACAAAACGTATTGATGAAATACGTGCTAGCTTGCAATTTGATTCTTCTTTTATTGTGGATTATGTAGGCAGAAGTGGAGGTCTAGCTCTCTTTTTTTGTAAGAAACCTTATCAGTGCACTCTTATAAACTACTCTAAGCATTTCATCAATGTCCAAGTTTCCTTAGCTCACACGCCTGCTTGGCATTTTACAGGGTTTTATGGTTACTCGGAAAGATCAAATTGCTAAACTTCTCGAGACCTCCTTCGCCACCTCTCCTATGACACCTCACTCCCTTGGTGTATCATGAGGGACTTTAATGACCTTTTATCACCTGAAGACAAGAAGGGCACTCACGACCAACCCATACCTTTGTATTACATGAGCACGTTCTTAATTCCTACCAGTTTAGAAGAAGAAATTCAAAGAATGCTCAACTCATTCTGGTGGGGCTCAAATAAAAGCTCTGGAAGAGGTATCCATTGGTTAAACTGGGAAAAGTTAACCATGCACAAAGAACATGGTAGCATGGGCTTTTGACACTTCCACGGGTTCAACTTAGCCATGCTACAAAAGCAAGATTGGAAACTCTTAACCAACACTGATGCTATATTCACTCATGTTTTCAAAGCAAAATACTTTCTGATAGGGGATTTTTTGGGGGCTCACTTGGGCCATAACCCAAGCTATGCATGGCGTAGCATCTATGCTTCACAGGTTGTGGTTAAGAATGGGATTCGTCGTCTGTGTGTAAGGAATGGCTCTAGTATAAACATATGGAAGGATCCATTGTTACGTATCCCAGATAACCCCTATATTTCTTCAGCCACACCACCAGGGTATGATCAACTTGTGGTGAGAGATCTTATCAATCTACCTTCTAGTAGGTGGCACCAAAATACCATACCCACATTATTCAATCCATACGACATCCAGGCCATTCAATCAATCCCACTCCTTCATCTAGATGAACCTAACATAATCACATGGACTATTAGCAGGGGAGGCACCTATACTATGATGTTCGCCTACTACCACATCATGGAAAATCTCATATCCAATGCAAACCTCAAGGTCCTAGGAAATTGGAAACTTTTATGGAAAATGAAAGCCCTTCATGCGATGAAGATTTTCCTTTAGCGCCTCCTACGTGGCTATCTACCAACACGGATGAACTTACAATGCAAACATGTTACATGCACCATGGTTTGTGGTTCCTACAATCCAGACCTAGAGAATGAATGGCACAGTTCTTTGGATGTACAACTACAAAAGAGATTTGGGCAGCTTCTGGCCTTTGGTACAAAATCTAATAGATTATGGAACATGGAGAGGGTATAATGGATACAATATTCAAGCTTTTGAACTGTTTAATTGTTGCTAAAAAAGTTGATATGTAGTTATGTTATGGTGGAGAAGGAGGAATGACAAGCTTTGGAATAATGTGACCACCACTCCTACAGCAGTAATTTTTTACGCACATTAATGCCTTTTTGAATGGTTAGCAGCACATAATATTCAAACAACCCCCACTCTGCCAAACTATTTTCCACAAAATTAGGTCAAGCCCCCACTTGGTCACCTTACATGCAATGTTGATGCTGCAAAGTTTTATGACACAAACGTGTGGTTTCGCTTTCTATATACGGGATGAATATGGTGTGTTCAAGGTTGCTACCTCTAGTTGGTATTATGGCTCCCCTGTCCCACATGAAGTAGAGGTTATAGCTTTCCTAGAGGCCATCACTTGGCTAGCAACATCTGACTACGTTAAAGTCTTCATAAAACTTGATTGTAAACAAGTTGTTGATGACCTACATGGCTCTACACTTTACCTTTCTGAATATGGTCTTCTCATTTACAAAGGTCAATTACTACTTGTCACTCACCAAAACCTTAAGGTTAGGTTCATTAGGAGACAAGCAAATCATATTGCCCATTCTTTAGCCAGGGCGGCAAGATCATATGCTAGTACTCATTATTTTGATTTTATTTCATCTTGTATTGCATCACATAACTATCGTGGGAGTAGAAGTCTACGTAGAGGGAGACCATGCTCCACCACTCCGGCACGGAAGGGGAGCCCTTCGCAGGTGGTCGTTATGAAGTTAAAATATAAATAAACACACTGCTATCAACATTGTCCACTAGAACATTCATATGTGAAAATGACAAAATGTTTATAAAAAGAACAAATCATGCATGCCATGCAATATATGTACAACTATCACTCTTATAACAAAAGTCAAAAGTGTCAAATAGAATAATGTCACTACAAGAAATGCATGTTTGTTCAAATCCCTGAGAAATAGGTGCTCAGGAAGGAGCTTGTTGCATCTCCAATATCTACCAACCATATTTCGCAAATGAAAAAATATATATATGAATATTGGAAATGAAATCCATGAGGGTTTTCCGTGTGTAAACAACTTTTATATTTCCCATTGTATTTCGTAGTCTTTTGCTTCTTATAGTTTTACTTTACACGCTGCAGTGTCCTAAATTATGCAAAAGAATTTGGGGTTATGATTGATGATCTTAACTTGTGGGATGGAAATATTCTCTTCCTTATCAAATAACCATATTTTTGGCACTAGAATATACATGACATGACTTGTAGTCTAACTTTTGATTTGATGGCAACGAAGGAGCTTGTTGCTTGTTGCTGCAACCTCACTATTTCTTTCATAAGGGCAACCAAAAAAATTGCCCCACAGAATTAGTGTCCATTAGTTGTTATCACAGCCAAATTGTTTTCTGTCCTGTTTTGATACGCTGCCTGCCGGTGATTAATCTCTTTCCTGCACACAAAAAAGGGAATATGAATTGTTCTTAGACATTGTCCTTAGAAAGTGAATGATGAGATCAAAACATAGAAGGCAATTGTGACTTAGAGAAGTATTTGTTATTCATCCAACCCAACAAGCACCTACAAAATGGAAAGGTTGTAATAGTACTTGAGCAATGAAATGTGTTCCTTACACATAATCACATGCAAACGTGGCTTAGAAAATATGAAATTCTGATTTACTTTATTACAATTTTATTAACAATTAGTGGCAGGGAAGAAAAGGCAATAAAGCTTTAAAAATATCTATTTCTTATTTATCCGTTCCCACCAGAAGACAATCTTTCACTTCTCATCTTGGTTAAATGCACAAGAATTAGAAGAATGAATTACATTCTTGGTAGAAAGGAGAAAAAAATCTGGAAGGCCAGGGAAGGAGGGAGAAATTTAGGGACTGTTTGGTTTGAGAAAATGTTTAAGTTTTAATTTTCTATTTTCACTTTGTTTCATATTTTCAAAAGTTTGTATATGAAAACTAAAAAGAATTTTTTATTGTTTGATTGTCGCTTTCCATTTTTCGTGTCAGTCAGTATATAAACTACAGAAAATAGGAAACAAAGTGGAAACAAAAAATAAAAACATGAAACATCTTCTCAAACCAAATGACCCTTTAAGTTCTTCAAACGTACTGAAGACTATCAGAGGAAAAGTTGGATATGTAAATATTTAAAAAGCAGATTTTTTTCAAAAAAAATTAAAAAAAAAAAAGTCAGTCTTGACAGACAGAAATAAGCAGCATTACCATATGCTCAACTACTAATTAAACTATCTAGTTTGCGGTGGAAAAAAAAATAGTCACTGTAATATCAGTAAAGCTCTAAAGGGCAAAGCTAAAAGGCATTTTATAAGCTGAAAAACCTGAGACATTGCCACAGTGCGTCATAATGGAGAACACCAACAATTCTTCGCTTCCTTTCTTTAATGTGATCTCCACCTCGTTTAACAACTGGCAATTGCTTGATGCCCTTGGCCTCCATCAACTCTTTGGCCATAGCCAAACTAGTATTTGGATAGCAGGTTAAAATACCCCGCTCTCGTCCGCGATAGCTCATCCCTCGAGTACAAACAGAGGAAACAAGGCATGTGTGTGTCTGTCAAATATCCAATTTGGATTATCATTAGCATGACTGGCAACAATGGAGAGTACAGACAGTATAAGCAAGATCTTCAACAATAAATTAACATCAATTCTATCCTAGCAGTATAGCATGAAGATCCAATCATGAATTTCAGCAATGTATTTTCTCAACCCGGTGCATTTAAAATCCATTCATCAAAGCATTATTATGACTTCAAAAGAAAAGGACAGCAACAATTCAGTTCTTGCTGAACCAAAATCTTGAAAAAAGTTGATCCAGTCCAATTTGTTGCTAAAAATTATTCAGTAAACAGTTCTTGCCAGAACTTTTTCTGTTATTTTTGTTATTTTTTTTTCCATGAACTATAGAAGACGACTGTTTCTAAAACAATTTGTAACATAAACATGGCTCTTGAATAAATAAATAGCAGGGGCATTTTCTACATACATCCCGAATCTCTGAATCGCCGTTGGAAGTATCATCAGACTTCGGGGACAGACACCTTTTAACATCACCATATGTCAATATTCCTTCTAGAAAATCTTCTTTATCAACCACCAACACACAGTTCTGCTGGTTGTCATGCATGCATTTTATTGCATCTTTCAGCGTTGCAGATGACAAAACCTTCAGATATTGTTTTGACATGGCCTGAGAAACCTGACAAAACCAATAATAATATAGTCAAGGCAACAGAGTTTACAGATAAAAGACAAGAGTCAACATGCCGCTGCAGAGTTAGAAACAAAAGATGGGCAATGCTGATGATACTTTTCCCCAATGATTAGAAGTGTGAAAAATCTTCTCTTGACCTTAAGATTGTCCAGAAGCAGTTCCTTATCAATTGCTTCAAGATCAGTGCCATCTCCAACCACAGAGAGTTCTAAATCATTCTCATCATTGGCTCGTCTCCAGTTACCCTCATTGTCATCTTCAGCATGTGAAACTGGTGAATATACTCTTGCTGAGTTACTTGTATCAGGAGTATCACTCTCCTTCGCCTGGTTTGTCACTGAGGGAACCCATATTGCCAATCCAACAGCTCCCTAAGGGAAAAGTTCACAATTACACAATATGAGAACATTAAATATTAGAAATTTTCATTACGAAAAAAAAAGAGTGCATGATTTACAAGTTAAGAGAGATGGGAAACCTGAAGAAAACAAGAAGTTTGATGTTCAAAGTTCAAGCCACAAGTTCTGGCAGATAGAAAATTCTACATGAATTACAATGCCAGAGTAGTTGAAGCTAAAGTATTTCTCTATTTTAAAATATCGGCCGTTTAAGATAATTGCATGAGAATCAAAAAAAAAAAATCTACTAGATTGCTTTGATTAATGTATCTGGTTTTTACTAAAGAACCCTTTGCTGAAACATTCAAAACAATATTGCTCCATTAATGCTCCCTCTTGTTCCATTTAGTGGAGATACCGAAAGAGGATAAAGTTGGAAAAAGAAAATAATACCTTAATTTTCTAAAACAACAGATAAATTGAAACAGAACAAACTTCCTAAGGCAATAAATATTTTGAAAGAGGGAGTAATTTGATGAATTTATGAATTCAAAACCACATGAGTTAATGCACTTCACAGGCAATAGATCATGTCCAGCCACACGAAGTTTAAGAAACATGCAGATCGTCCAGGACCAACTTTAGTGGGAGTTGCTCATAAATAAGCAACTGTGGCACAATGAGTTGTAAGGTTAAAGTTGTTCGGGTGAAAGAGAGAGAAGATTGCATTAAAAATAGAGAGTTGCTTATATAAGCAATTATTGCATAGCAGAATGGCTACACATATACATATGAATTTGAAGAGAAAACTAAGCAATTCTTCTCTAATTGCATGGATAAAAATGCTAATTTACATTGACTTTCAACTTCAGACCAAAACACAACACAACAAAGCCATGGAATCATAGAGAAACAATTTCTCTAGCCATGGCTTAATACCAGATATGGATAACCATCAATGACATAAAGGAATCATGTAGTATACTTGATCATTTATAATTCAGCAGAGAGAAGAGAAAGATATTTATAATTGACTCATTTTGATACAATAGGAACTAGCAGAACAGCAGAAAACCGCACATGCAACAAACTCTAATTTATTTTTGGGTTAAGAGAATTTTATTGAAGGATTACCATGAGAGGAAGCAATATCCTATAATCTTTTGTCAGCTCAAACAGAAGTAGAACTGAAGTCAATGGAACAGAACAAGCAGATGCTAATGTAGCAGCCATTCCAACCTGCAGAAATTAAATTAACTTATAACTATCTAAATATTCATCAACCAAATCAGTACTGTTGTTAGCAATGACATTTCTACAACCTGTATGCTTTACAGTAAAGTCGGCTTACCAGAGCATACGCCGGGGGTTGAGCAACAGCAGCATTTCCAGGAATTGCTGAATTAATAACTTCAGCAGAAAAGCCTCCAAATACAGCACCAGCTGCAGCACCTATCATTAAACTTGGAGCATAAAGACCCCCTACAAGCCCAGATCCCTTGCAAAGAGCTGTAGCAATAACCTTAGCAGCTACCAATTGAGTCAGAAGCCATATTCCAGGAGCTGAAGCACTC